AAGGGTGCCCGATAATCGTGGTCCTGCACAGGTGTAGCTAAGCTACAGGCCTCTCTACGTTCAAAAAGTCACCCAGCGGACACTAGCACCTGCCCAGCTGGAGGGTCGATGGTGCGACCCTTAACTAGCTCAACTTGAACTATACACAGCTGAGACTCCTGGAAAGGTCCTGGAAAATAACTTAGGCAAACATCTTGTTTAGGCTAGGAGCTGCTTGGAGGACATGCAAGTGTTAAAACGACCTTGATTAATGAAGGCAAGTGAAATGGATTTGACTAATTATTACACACAGTTTCAGATAGAACCAGGGGAAAATAAAAGCAAGGAAATGCTATGACAAAAGCATGTAAATACATTTTCAAATATTATCTTTATCACACCACATATAAGCTCAAAAAAACATTTATTAATTGATGGTGGAATCATCACTAATTTGTGTCCAGAATTTGACATCCCCTACCCATACCCCATCTTGTAATCAGGGTGTCTAGAAAACCATTTTATTAGTTAAAATGTTGCTTGGTTAGCATGAAAACAATTTTTTTTAAAGGTGAATAGTGTATACAGATCATTGAATAAGCCATGGGAAAAGCCTGCTGCACAGTCCTGGTCCCATGGCTAAGATAACTTTTCTATTGTTGACCCATCTATATTTCCTCTATTGGTGGATTTTCTTCTCTGACCCAGTTTTTCTCATTCAGGGCAATGATGGATATTCACTAAATCTTTCTCCCTGAGGCCAGAACACACCTCTGGTTGGTCTGAATTTTTCTTTCTGTATGTGTGGTATTATCAGTTAAAGTATTGTAAGGCTCTGTCTTTGAACTAGTCTGTCTTTTAATATTATGTGTTGAGCTAACCAAACTAAAAAATTACAAAGACACCACATCCAACCTAAATTATAGTGGAAGCCATAATATAACAGACAAGAGAAGATTGGATTATTTCATCCCTAGCTACTGCGACCTGGGTAGATACTGCTGTCAGGCAGGTGAAATAATAGTTACATGAGTTTTGGAGGAAGACTATAAACTCAATCCCATTGTAAAGTCATCTATACTTGTGTGGGCTTAGGTATGTTAAAACTCCTCAAGGCGTAGTTTACTCATCTGTAAAATGGAAATAATTTAGTGACTACCTATCCTGTGATGGTTAATTTTATGTATCAACTTGACTGAGCCAGAGAGCCCAGTTATTTGGTCAAACGTTATTCTGCGTATGTCTGTGAGGGTGTTTTTGTATGAGATTAACATTAAATTCAACAGACTGAGTAAAACAGATTGCCCTCCCTAATATGGGTGGCCCTCACCCAATCAATGGAAAGCTGAAAAGAACAAAAAGGCTGACCTTCCTTTAAAAAGAGGGAACTCCTCCTGCCTAACTGTTTGAGCTAAGACGTCTGTCTTTTCCTGCCTTCAGTCTCATACTGAAACATCCGCTCTCCTTGGATCTCGAGTCTGCCCGCTTTCAGACTGTAATTTACACTATTAACTATTGTGGTTCTCAGGACTTCAGACTCAGACTACAATTACAGCATCAGCTCTCCTGGGTCTCCAGATTGCAGGTTGCAGATCTGGGGACTTAGCCTCCATAACCACCTGAGCCAATTCCTTATAATAAATTTCTTTCTCTCTGTGTATATTTATCTTGTTGCTTCTATTTCTCCAGAGAACCCTGACTGAGATTTTGGTACTGAGAGTGTTTCTAAAGAAACAGTTTTAAGGATGAGTTTTCTGAATTGGTTCTGGCGTTTCTGGAACTGGCTCTTCAACCTGATTAGATTTAAAGTTGCTAATAACTCTATTTCAAGTAGTAAGGAGAATACTGATAGTCTATGGCATGACCTGGAAATGAAGATATGAAAAATATCACCACTGGATTCTCCTCATCAACCTCTTATAAGAAGACAAGGGGGACTTCCCTGGTGGCGCAGTGGTTAAAAATCCGCCTGCCAATGCAGGGGACATGGGTTCAAGTCCTGGTCCAGGAAGATCCCACACACTGCAGAGAGACTAAGCCCATGTGCCACAACTACTGATCCTGTGCTCTAGAGCCCACAAGCCACAACCACTGAGCCTGCATGCCACAACTACTGAAGCCCACGCACCTAGAGCCTGTGTTCCGCAACAAGAGAAGCCACTGCAATGAGAAGCCCGTGCACTGAAACGAACAGTACTCCCTGCTCCCCACAACCAGAGAAAGCCCACGCACAGCAACGAAGACCCAATGCAGCCAAAAATAAATAAATTAAATAAATTTTTTAAAAAAACACAAAAATAGAGCTACTATATGACCCAGCAATTCCATTCCTAGGTGTATATCTGGAGAAAACCATAATTCAAAAGGATGCATGCACCCCAATGTTCATTGCAGCACTATTCACAATAGCCAGGACCTGAAAGCAACCTAAATGTCCATCAACAGAGGAATGGATAAAGAAGATGTGGTACATGTATACAATGGAATACTACTCAGCCATATAAAGGAACGAAATAGTGCCATTTGCAGAGACATGGATGGACCTAGAGATTGTCATACAGAGTGAAACAAGTCAAAGAGAAAAACAAATGTATAATATCACTTATATGTGGAATATAGAAAAATGGTACAGATGAACTTATTTGCAAAGCAGAAATAGAGTCACAGATGTAAAGAACAAACTTATGGTTACCAAGGGTGGGATGAACTGGGAGATTGGGATTGACATTTATACACTACTATGTATAAAACAGATAACTAATGAGAACCAAATGTATAGCACCGGGAACTCTACTCTATGCTCTGTGGTGACCTAAATGGGAAGGAAATCTAAAAAAGAGTGGATATATGTATATGTATGACTGATTCACTTTACTGCACAGCAGAAACTAACACATTGTAAAGCAACTACACTCCAATCAAAATTATTTTAAAAATAATAATTATTGGTTGCAAAAAAATTAATATGAAATTAATGGGGTTGTCATGGAGAAAAGATGTAATGCATGCTAAAGTTCTTGTCTGTTGGGGCAGAAAAGTAAATATACCGATTATATCTCTTACTTTTTTATTATGAAAAATTTGCAAGCATACATAAAAGTAGAGAAAGCAAACTTCACTATACCGATCATCTGGATATAATAACTTTTCACATTTGCCAGATTCCTGTAGTATTTTAAAACAATTCCCAGATACTGCAATGCTTCACCTCTAAATATGTCAGTATGCATCTCTAAAAAGTTACTTTTTTACATAACCCCAATACCATTTTGACCCCTAACAAGATAACAACTTCATAGTATCGTTTAATATCCAGTCATATTCAGAGTTCTCTAATTATCCCCCAAATGTCTTTTTACAGTTACTTTGTTCAAACCAGGCCCACACATAGCATTTGGTTGATATGCCTCTTAAGTCCCTTTTAATTTTGAACAATCCCCCAGCTCACTCCAATGCAAAAAGGAAAGCAAAATCCCACAAAGTGAAAAATTCCAAAATTTTTCATGCAATTAACTTGTGAAAAGAGACAAGGTCAGTTGGTAATTAACTTGGTAATTAACCAGGTCATAGAATGATGGACAATCTACGTCTGTCTCCTTGTAGTACCATTTAACTTGTTCACTACCACATTAGTAGGAAGTTTGATCTAAGGGCTTGATTAGCTTCAAGTTGAACAGTGTTGTTAGAAATAGTTCTAAGCAGTGCTGGGTGCTCCACATTACATCTTGTCATGAAACACAACAAGTCAAACTGACCATTTTTGGAGATGCTAACTTTGATCAGTGGGTTCAGGTGGATACAATCTGACCCCTCCGTTGCAAAGTGAGGTTCCTTATAACCAGCAAGTTATCTACAGGATGATACTTTGTACTTTGGTAAAATTACTCTTGGGTTTAAGGGTGGGGGGAGGGAGGAAGCAAATCAGAAACTATTTAGACATTAACAAAATGAGAACACTGCATATCAAAAAGCCAGGAAAACACAAATATGGCAGAAGGAATGAACTTATTTCAAAGAAGCATACACTGATGAATCAGGAAAAATTAGATTTGACCAATAAACAACCCAAAAGCTATTCTAAGAAAAGGTTAATAAAATAGACAAATATTTAGCAAGTCAGACTGAAAGGAAAAGGAGAAAGCGTGCAAATAAACAACAGGGGATATGTAAAAAATTATAAGAGAAAAATGTGTTCCAGAAAATAGGGGTGAAATTCTGAGAAAATATAAATGACTAGGTTGGCTTCAAAAGAAATTTTAAAGCCCAAACTAGTCAATATGAGAAACTGATCTAGTAGAATTAGATGAATAAGCAAAATTAGTCCATTAATGAATGCAATTCACCACATTAACAGATTAAAGGAGAAAAGCATCATGAAAATGATAATAGCTAACTCTGATAGAGAAATTGCTATGTGCCCAGCTCTCTTCTAATCACTTTAAATATAGCTAATTTAATTTCACTAAATGCTCCAAAGGCACTTGAGCATTTAGCCCCACTCCTGATTAAAATTATAAAAAAGAAATATATTTTAGGAATAAAAAGAATCGTTACTATTCTAAAAAGGAATTAACGTATCTACTGGAAATCTCTAGCAAGGATTACCCTTGATGGTGGCATCAGAACTTTTCATATCAAATGTCAAATTCAACTCACAATGGTTTAAACAGAAAATGATTTCACAAGCGACTTCAAAGTTCCAGGACGTTCATCTAGATTGGCAATACCTGGATCCAAGGTTTCCCTTACCGGGGTACAAAAGGTTATTCAATTTGCAAGGGTATCACAATTTTGAAATAGCAACGTACCTGGTGCATATAAACCGAGATTCAATTTACAAAAATTCAAAGCACATCCAATTTTGTTAGAAATATTTCAGATGCACCTGATTCTTTGACTTTGTCCAATTTCCTTCCAGTTGATTCAAGATGACTGTGAATCTAGAGAAATCAGGATTCCCCTCCCCCACCCACATCCCTGCCTTATCCAATTTTTTTGTTTCTCCTCCCCTATCATCACCCTTAGAGTGTGCTTCTGCTCTGAACAAGGTGTTGCCTGAAGAATTTCTGGATCTCTCCCCAGGCGTGCTCCTGGGCTGCCGCGTGGCCCACAGGGTCACCCCCCCAGAGCAGGGGGCTGAAGAGGCCGCGACTCCAGGACGCATAGCACAGGGGCAAATAGGGCGGCTCTATGAGGTGGCCCGCCCCGGGGTAGAGCAGCATCCTTCCGCTGCTTCTGCCGTGCCTCCGCAGCTGGTCCAGGGCTTGCTCAGCGTACTCTCTGCTATTGAAGCATTCGTCATCCTCCCCTATAATGAAGAGGATCGGACCCTGGGCCTTTTCAATAGGAAGCACACTGTGTTGATTCAGTGCATCTCGGGGGTTCCCCTTGTAGTGACGGAGGCACAAAGCGCCCATGATGTTGAACTCCATGCGCTCCGGAAACGAGGGGATGGGTGTTATAACCAGATCCCGGTACCTGAGCGGAAATTCAAAGATGGCATTGCACCCGTTGATGCAGACAGTGGCTGCCACCTCCTTCAGGTAGCAGGCCATGGCCAGCCCGATCTCTGCACCTTTGCTCACAGAGATCACTCCAATTCCTGGCTTTTGGATCTGAAGGAGAAAATAAAGGAAACCCATTACAGGGCATTCTCTGAGAAGGAGCTGTCCTATAGGCCAGTAAGCTAGTATGATGGGAAGAGTCTGAAAATGTGGGGTGGGAGTCCTGGCACTAAGGTTTACCAGCTTTGCGACTGAGAGAGAATACTACCTACTTACCCTCCCTAAGCCTTATTGTCTTATGGGGTGATAATATTACCTACCTTGTAGGACAGTTATGAAGATTAAGTGAAAAAATAGAAATTAAAACTCTTCACCCAAAGCAGAGCTCTATAAAGGCAAAAAGGGTCTAATACACCAGCAACATTAGACATCACAAGAGCAGAGGCAGGTAAGATTTTTGAAGAATCGAATTCTTCTCTCCAGCTAGTAAAAGAGGTGTCCCAGTTTCTTTCAGATATTAGGTAAGTGTAATTCATATTTAAACAGCATTTTACAGCTACAAAGGATTTGCATATTCGTTAAACCAAAGGCTAATCCTGGAAGGATTGGGAGTGTAAAGATGAAAGACTTGGATTCTGTAAAAAATTGAATGTCAGTTCCCAGTCCACTAGGAAAAGTAGTAGGTCACAGGAGGGAGTCCTTAACTTTGTGGTGGGCCCAGGGACCAGAGGGAAGGAAAGAAGTCTGAGGGATGAATGAGGAAAGGAAGGGCATTCTGGACAAACAATAGCAAATACATAGTGACCCTGTGTGTTTACTTTGCTCACAGTTGTATCCCCAGCACCTTTCTATCATCAGAATCACCTGAAAAAAAAACTTTTAAAACTTGAGCTTTCTGAGATCCAGTTTTTTGTTTGTTTGTTTTTGGTTTTTTTTTTTGCGGTACACGGACCTCTCACTGTAGTGGCCTCTCCCGTTGCGGAGCACAGGCTCCGGACGCGCAGGCTCAGCGGCCATAGCTCACGGGCCTAGCTGCTCCGTGGCATGTGGGATCTTCCCAGACCGGGGCACGAACCTGCATCCCCTGCATTGGCAGGCAGATGCTTAACCACTGCGCCACCAGCGAAGCCCCTAAGATCCAGTTTTTTGAGAGCTACTTCAGTAGGTCTGAGTGGGCCCAAGAATCTGATACTATAAAATATCCCCAAGGAAATCCAGTGTGCATCCATGTCTGGGAACCATCCACATGAGGAGTGGATTGGGAAGTGAGGGAGGAGGGCTATAACTGGAGACAGGAAATTGATTAATGCACTATTGCAGCATCACAGCTGAGCAATGATGAGGGACTAAAACAGCGGCAGGGAGGGTGAAGGGGGTGTGATTTACTGAGAAAGAATCTAAAACACTTTGGGATGGGTTGAGGGTGTGGGGAAAGGAAGAGGGAAGAAACCAGATGGGCACAGGTGACAAGGTGGATTTATTGAGCGTTTACTATATGCTCGGCCCTCCAACAAGAAAACGGGGATTCAGGAAGTGTAAGTCTCGCTCAAGGTTACAATAGTATCAAGGGGCAGAGGTGGGAATTGAACCTCTTCTGTGGAATCTAACTACTAATTGAATTTTGGCAATTGCCCTTTCTCCTCATACAATGTCACAAATAGTTAAACTTGAAGTGAAAAAAAAATTAACTTGAAAACATTGTACCTGGGATTTAATTCCTTCTAGGCAATCCTTTAAACAGAGCCAAATATGCTTAGGAAAATCACACGTATATTTGATTATGATGATGATAACACTGAAGATGAGGATACCGGTGATGCTCCAATAGGAAACATATCCTATCTCTTCTTGAGAAGAGTCAAGGCTCCAGGAGAGAACGATGTAAGTTGGGGAGTCAGGATGACTTAATGGTTTGGAGCAAAGACATTGCCCCAAGGGCTCTGACACTTACTGGCTGTGGAGTGTTGGCCTCTTACTTAACTGAGATGGGTATGCCTTCTCATCTGAAAAATGAGGACCATGTCAAAAGTACTAACCGCACAGTAATTATGAGCATTAAATGAGATAGTGCATATAAAGTGTTTAGCATAGAGTCTAACAAATAGTCACTTAATATAAACATTAGGTGATACGTTTGTTTTACCCTGTCAGGTTGAACTGTAAGAAATACCTGATATTTGAACATTTTTGAACTAGCAAATGAAGAGAATCATAATATACCCACCATTTATTGTCTTCTTTGTGCCAGTAAGCACTAAGCTGATCCTAATCAACCCAACAATCCTACAAGGTATGTATTATTATCTGCATTTTAACTCAACTGTGCTGTGCCCAAGTCTAAACAGACTGGTAATATAGGCAGAACGGACATTTGTGATTTTCTTTTTTTGGCTATAATGTTGCCAGGTAAAATGAAAAGTATTTTAAATACCTTGGGATGAGCTAGTAGCAAGTTGGCAGCTTCCTCAAAATATTCCAGGTCCACCTCCTGCAACTGCTTGGGCAGGTCTGCGTAGGCAAAATATGCTAAAGCCAGCACTGCAAAGCCATGGGCAGCCAGAAGACTGGCCCGATATTCAACTAGACCCCCAATGCCCCCAAACAAATCAATGAGTCCTGGGAAAGGGCCTTCCCCTAAGAGCAAGAAAAAAGAGAAGAGAATGAGATCAGAAAGAGTAACACGAGGGTCAAGTAGGTAACAACAAAAGTACAGGCTGAGCAGAATGAATTCCACCTTCACACACACAATGAAATGGCTTATTACTTTTAAAATATTGTGGGAAATACTAGTTCGCCAACAGTTTGATGCCCTTTGTTTTTGTTTTTATTTCCATGAACCATGTCTTCTAAATCATGAAAGATTAGTCTCACCTGGAGGGAGGAAAAGGGCTCCTCGCACACGACCTTCTTGGACCTGCACCCGCTGCATCTGAGGGCTGGAGAACCAACGCTGCACCACCTGGCTGGCCCTGGGCTGAACCTCCCCTGACTTTTGTAAATAAACGGAGTCATATAGGTCCAGAGTGATCCAAAAGGGGCTGTTCATCACATCTTTCTTAATCTGCCTCTCAAAAGCCTTCTCAGGCTTCAGAGACCAGAAGAGGCCCATAGGGTGGACCCCCACATAGTGGCCCCCCAAGGCAGGAGCCTGCTTCAGGTCCAGCTCACCAGCCTTGTTGGCCCTGTAGAAGGCTCTGGACTGGTACAGATTCCCCTTCTCATCCTTCATAGATGCCATGAGTGTCACCGTCTGCAGTGGAGGCAGGCCTGTCACTCGGATGTGCACGGGCTCATCCGCGAGGGCACTTGCCGGGGTGGCTGTCAGCTGGAACATTGGCAACCGGCAAAGGGACCAAGTGGTGTTTCCTACCCTGCAGTGAGAGAGAAAACTCTGAGTTGGAGACTTCAGTTCCAAGGAAGAGGCCCAGACAAGGCTTATATTAGGTCTGGCCAGGGCAGATTTCTGGATACTAGTACAAAGTACACAGGACATTTGGAGGAGGGAAAATAGGGTGTTGCAGACAGTACTCATTATTCTCATTTTATATATGAGGAAACAGGTTAAGTGACATGCTCAAAGTCTTGTAAATAATTAATAGTAGAACCTGAAATTCAAGCTACGTCTGACACTACAGCCTCCTGTCTTATCCATTACAACACTGTAGGAAATCTTAGTTTTGTGGTTTTGAGTAAGTTGAGCTTCATATCTTCAGGTGAGATCATTCCCAGGTGACCTATTTCACTGGTGTTTGTTAGGATCTGAGGGGGTAATGCATGATTAAGGGTTTATTGGAAGGATCAGTGCTGCTTTTCAACTCCCATACCTACATAAACAAGAAACATGTTATGCTTTTGTTTCTTTCTTTCTTTTCTCTTTTTTTAGTTTCCAATCCCTCCCTGCCATTGTAAGACGGACTGCCAGCTCTTTTCAGAGTTCCCATTATTTGTTCTTTTTAAGGGAAAATAAAACTTCATGATCTGCTTTTGTGGCTTTCCAACAGAATGATAAATATAAAATATTGTTTGTAGCAAAGAGAATGAAATATACATTTGATCAGCTCATTTTATGAGCAAAATTTGGGGTACTCTCTCCCTCGTTCCTCCCTCTGTACATTCCTTCTTTCTTTACTTTCCCTCCTTTCTTCTATACCTCATTCCACAAAGGATTTGAACCTGTTTATAGATAAGGGAGGCATAAACAAATAAAAATAAAATAGGATCTGGGAAAATATGAACTAGCATCAGAGACACTGAATGAATGACAGCCAAAGGAAAAAAGGCAATCTCTCAGTTGTGTTGTTCTTAGTCTCATAGAAAGGGTTACCAGTTTCTCAAGAGAAAGGAAAAAGTGAGGCCTTTCCAATATTTTCCTAAAAGAAATTTCTCATATGAAACTTTGACATAGGTATGCATCATTTTTCCAACAATATCTTCACACAAATGATAGTAATAGGTGTTCTCTCAGAAAGCTTGATCCTCCAAGGGATCCTTGATTTTATTTTACAGAGGAATGCAAAATGAAGGCTTTGGGGTTTAGATTTGTGAGCAGAACAGATTCTGCAGAAAATAAACAGGCTCTGGCAGTGCAGGGGCAGAAGAGGGGTTTTAATGCCCAGTTCTTCACAGTTGAAAGGGGGTCTTTGGAGGAAAGAGAGGGTCAAGGAAAAATGCATTTTGTGCTTCTTTTAAGAAAGTGATTTTCTGCAAAGGACGCACTCCCTCCCACCTGACCCCCATCAACAACCAGCATTACTGACCATTTCAAAACTCATGGTCAATAGAATAATTTGGAATAAATAGAATGATTGTGAATGTTTTCCCTCAATACCAGCAGAGTTCTTGGCAGAAGAAGGTGGCATCAATTCAAACTTCCTGGGTCTTTCATATGTATCAGGGAAATGGGAACTGTAACATGAATAAGAACACCCCATGCCCCGTGTGACATTTCAGTGCTCCCTTGGTATTTTCTGATCGGGTCCCTCCTATAACTCTCTGTATCTGCTGTTTCTTCTTCCCAAAAAGAGATCATTAAGAAGGGGTACTTGTGTGCCCTATTCCACAAATTCTTCTTCCTTCTCAAAATTTCTATATAATTTATTGACTCGATACAGATTTTATTTTCAAATTGAATTAATTTGAATTAATTAACATAACTACTCTCCTGCATTCCTG